AAGCCACAATTTTTTCCCAGTCCAGCCCTGATTCAACCCCAGGAACTTTAAACTCAGACAGATCTATTTGATTTTTGATATTATTTAAACCCCATTCATATCTAGTGTTTTTTTTTCCTTCCGTCTCGTTTGCTGAAATAATTAGACTTATTCTAACTTTTTACTCATTACACCGTTTTTTTTTTTTCTTAAAATAAAACTTATTAAACCAATGTTTAAGGACAAGTAGAAAACATTAAATCATTATATAACGTTTATCTTAAAGTTCACTTAAAGTTAGTATTTTAAGTTACCACATTCTACTTGACAGTCAAAACATTATAACTTAGCATCCTATGAAATAAATGTATAAGCTCTTTTACCCAAGGAAAGAAAGGAATAAAAAATACAAATGAAAGAATTCTTTATCTTTAAGAGCTACAGGAATCAAAGTGTCCCAGTACAAGGTTGAATCTAAAACAATCTAAGTAACCGTGAACAAGTGATACAACTTGTTCAGGTTTGGGCTGGAACACCATTTGTTAAAGATAGGCTCTATGTATGCACCCTGATGCTCTATCTCTCCGGGGTTTTTTTTCCTTGAAAAGAGATCACTCGGAAAAACTCTTCAAACAACACTTTATAACTTATATGTATTAAATAACCAGGAGAAATGACAACAGATTTTTATAGTAATTGTAATCTTACTCAGATCAGATAAATTGCTTAGGGTTACAGAATGGCAGCTGCTCACTTCACAAAGGTCATCTTTAACCTTACTTGGTTCTACCAAGAAACCTACAGGCAGCTTCACTTTCCTACCAAGCATTACAGTCATGGCCAAAAGTATTGAGAATGACACAAATATTATATTTTCACATGATCTGATGCCCTCTGGTTTTCATGTTTGTATGTCAGATGTTATCATCACATACAAAAATACAATTGCAATCATATTATGAGTAACAAAAGCTTTTAATGACAGAATGAGTTAATGCAGCAAGTCAATATTTGCAGTGTTGACCCATCTTCTTCAGCACCTCTGGAATTCTCCCTGGCATGCTCTCAATCAACTTCTGGACCAAATCCTAACTGATACTGTAGCAGTCCATTCTTGCACAATCAATGCTTGCATTTTGTCAGAATTCCTAGGTTTTCGTTTGTCCACCCGTCTCTTGATGATTAACCACAAGTTTTCAATGGGATTAAGATTAGGGGATTTTCCAGGCCATGGTCCGAAAATCTCTATATTTTGTTCCCTGAGCCAATTAGATATCACCTTTGCTTTATGGCAAGGTGCTCCATCATGCTGGAAAAGGCATTGTTCATTACCAAACTACTTTTGCACGGTTGGGAGAAGTTGCTCTCGGAGGACATTTTTGTACCATTCTTTTTTCTTGGCTGTATTTTTAGGTAAGACTGTGAGAGAGTCGACTCCCTTGGCTGAGAAGCAACGCCACACATGAATGGTTTTAGAATGCTTTACAGTTGGCATGAGACAAGACTGGTGGTAGCGCTCACCTCGTATTCTCCAAACAAGCTGTTTTCCAGATGTCCCAAACAATCGGAAAGGGGATTCATCCGAGAAAATGACTTTAACCCAGTCCTCAGCAGTCCACTCCCTGTACCTTTTGCAGAATATTAGTCTGTCCCTGATGTTTTTCCTGAAGAGAAGTGGCTTCTTTGCTGCCCTCCTTGAGACCAGGCCTTGCTCAAAGAGTCTCCGCCTCACAGTGCTTGCAGATGCACCCTCACCTGCCTGCTGCCATTCCTGAGCAAGCTCTGCACTGCTGGTGGCCCGATCCCACAGCTCTCTCCTTGAAGTTCTTGATGATGTGATAGATTGTTGACTGAGGTGCAATCTTTCTAGCTGCGATTCTCTTTCCTGTTAGGCCATTTTTGTGCAGTGCAATGATGACTGCACATGTTTCTTTCGAGATAACCATAGTTCACAGAAGAGAAACAATGATGCCAAGCACCAGCCTTTTTAAAGTATCCAGTGGTGTCATTCTTAATTAATCATGACAGATTAATCTCCAGCCCTGTCCTCATCACCACCCACACCTGTGTGGGTGGTGATGCAATCACTGAAACAATGTTAGCTGGTCCTTTTAAGACAGGGCTGCTATGACATTGAAATGTGTTTTGGGGGATAAAGTTTATTTTCTAGGAAAATATTGACTTTGCAATTAATTGCTGTTACGCTGATCACTCTTTATAACATTCTGGAGTATATGCAAATTGCCGTTATAAAAGCTGAAGCAGTAGACTTTGTAAATATTAACATTTGAATCATTCTCAAAACTTTTGGCCATGACTGTAGACAGTAAGGTGTCATTCCGTTGGATTGATGGACTGTTGTGTTAAATGCAAAAGTGACTTGGCTGATATGACCGCCGCTTACATTTCTGGTCAGGAGCCAGAGTTTGTAGCATGACTTAGACTCAGACTCAAATTTTTATTGTCAGTTTTGTATACACAGAGTGTATACAAAACAAAATTTTGTTTTTTACAGCTTTCAGAATATTTCCATTCCATAAAGTGCAGCAGTATATACTGTAAAGTGCGATTAAAAGACACCCACTGTCCATTTCCTTGAGGATGATAAGTTGTATTGTGACTTTTCTGAACTTTATACAATCTGCAGAGTTGATGAATGATGATGGACTCCAAATTTTAACTCTGATCAGAAAGAATCATTTTGGGGGGCCAAAAAGCAGAAACCAATGTTTTCCTTGTTGCCTCTGCAACTGTACTAGCTGGTCTATTGTGGGGACAGTTTAAAACAAATGGTCAAAATCTCAGGAGGTCCTTGTGCTTCGATTTTAACTATATATTTTTAACCTTTGACAACACGCAGCATTAATAATTTTTACATCATGTTTTAATATCTTGAAACACATAAACCAATTATGCCATATACAAATTAACTTGAAGGTTGATTTGCTCAACCCCCTGATGGCCACGATCACCATGAAATAAATGCAGAGGATATGACTGAATACGACTTAAAATACAGGAGGACCTGTGAGCATTGTGGAAACACCACCCGTTTAAAATCCATCTGTCCATCTGAAGTGAAACTGCAATGATTCAGCACAGATTATTTTTTCCTTAACTAACTCTGTGGTATCCTTATTAAATCTGACTCTTTCCTTAGAATCAGGCATCTGCCCCCCCACCCAAAACGGCATAAAGAGGAAGTGATGGGTTCTTCCTGCTGCAGTGTAGAGAGGTCAGAGCAATACTCTCATCTGAACCACAGCTAACCTCTGGTTCTTTAACCATAACATGAAGAAGAGACAAAGCATCCGCACTGAATGGAAGCCAAATCACTAGCTGCCAATTTAGGCCCATCTTTGCTCAGTTTGCCAAACTATTCAGTGGCCAAATTACTTAAACTAATTTTATTGAAGGCAGATCTGATCTCAGTTTTACTTTGATTTAAAAAAAAAAAAGCTCTCACCTTACTTTTTTTTTTTTTACAAAAAGGGTGCAGATGTAATCACAAAATCAAAAACAATTCCCAAATCAAAGCAGCAAGTTGGCCTTTCCAATTGGATATGAGACTAATTTTCTAATACACCTAATTCAAAGTTATATATTACAGATTACTTTTGACTTATTAGTAAACTATAATTAGATAAATGTGTAGTAAATTTTAGGGCTGAGAGCTAAAGTAGGTTTTCATAAAAAAGCTATGATAGGTCTTTTATTTTCAAAATGGGCTGAGATATATTTTAGTCTGCCTTGATAATATCTTCACCAGTTTCTTTCCTGAACCTTCAGCATTGATATGGAACTGAAACCTAATTAACTCTTCAGTAAGTCTCTAGTAAGAAAGAGACAATAAGATAAAAAAGAAACGCATTTTACTTAAAAGGACAATCAAAATATAAATACAGCACAGCTGCAGTGGTGATGTTGAATAATGTTGCTGATGATGAAAAGTCAGGTCAAAAGATAAAGAAAGGTTTTTAACACACTTTTAGTTATAAAATAAAGGCTTAAGTCATATATATTTGTGAGAGAATCACTTTTATAATTTTAATATTTTTAATTTTATTAGGAGTTCTGCAGATATTTCACTTTAAGGTAAACTTTAAAGCAGAATGTGCAGAATGTATTGGTTTACGGAAAGAAATGTATCTTGTTGCTGGAATGGAATGATGGTGAACACCAGGAAGCTTTAACATTCATTTAGTTTAAAAACCTTTTTTTATAGTAAGCTTTAATATAGCTGAAACTAGCAACCTAAATGTTAAAGTGTTAAACATAGACATAACTTCAAAAGAACACCATGATTAAAAAGATAAGGCAAATTAATTTAGATGAACACGTCCAAATAGAACACATTAATCCTTTAAAAAGTTCCTAAACCAGGATTGTGACATGGATCACCAAAAAAATGTATTCCGTTTTAAGTTAGACTAAAACACAAATGTGGAAAAGATTTAGGACAATCCATCCTTCCCTCTATCAACAGCCAAATAAACCACAGTCACAGAAAACATTACCTCCCTTTTTTTAATTTCTGCATTAAAAAAAATTGACTGACAAATAATTAAGACACATAAGTAGACGTAAATTCTTTTATATTATTAAAAACAACAGGAAACCCTAAATAATTCATCATTAAACAAAACATTAGCCTATTTTTTTACATAAATTTTTAAAATAAAAATATTATTACATAATTGTCCACTACATCACCTATTTAGCATTCTGTTCAAACAAAAAATATAAAACATGAAATCAATTAAGAAAAGAGTGTACTAGGAAAAAAAAATAGTATAGGCAGTCTCTGAAAGAGTTAAGGTCCTCTATGGAATACATAGGAGAAGGACTTCAGAAAGCTGCAGAAAAATAACCCAGACATAATCTTAGCTCTTCAAAATAACACATTTATCATAATTGGATATTTTACATGCATAAAAACACAGACTTACAAACTTAAAGCGGTTTAAAGAAAGAATGTAAAGATAAAAAGAGTTATTGTAGAAACAAAACAGTTTCTAATATGTTTAGTAAAGAGTGTGTGTGAACAGTTATACAATTCCCACTGTACAACATACAGAGCTTTAAAATGGAACTGAACAACGGCAGTAACATTTTATTATGCAATGTGATGGAAAGAAACAACCCAACATTTAATTTGCATCTCTTATAAAATAAAACAATTTCACAAAACAATACATTTAGATGATAGCTTCAAGACAGCCAGCTGCACTGCATCTGAGAGAACCTACAGAAGATGGCCATAAAGACTGGTCAGATGAATCAATCCCATTTATAGAGGAGATCTAATCAAGCCATCTCCCTGGAAGGGCCACAAAGATCCAGGATGCCCAGGAAGGTCTTTTCTCATGGGACATGGAGTATTCTAGTGGTTAGGACAGAAGCTTAGGCATTCCAAGAGATTCCTCTGATAAATTACTCTTCACAGATGTCGAAGACCGCTCATTGTTCCTAAGGAATGGGGTTAAATGCAGACAAATTATGTTAAATGTGTAATTGAAGTGACAAAGTGAGATTATTATTATCATTTTCACCAGCCTTCGCTCAGGCAGACATAAGTATTTTGTGAGCTTCAACCAACAGACGAAAAGGCAGCTTTTCCCCATGTTAGTTTAAACTACTGAGGAAAACACACATGCACATACTACCTCGCAGTTTATTTATATTAACAGACCACTGACACTGTTCAGCAGCAAAATAGATTTTGTTGTATTATCTACAATGTCATAGTCACCTTAATAACATAACTAAACTATTTTACAAATACATGTAAATGAGCATTTCCATTCTAGTGACAGTCATTTAATTTCATGCAACCATTATGTTACTTTGTTGGACAATTTAAACCAAAAAACTCATCATCCTTTCTATGGATTAACCTTATTGTTCCAGCTTAACAAAGCACCTATTTTAATCTGAAAGAGGATTTTTAGGTTATGAAAAACATTCAAATATATGGTTATAAATTTAGATTTTAAAACAAAATCCATAAGTCAAATCCAAGATAATTCAAATCAAAGATAAAATTGAGCTGAAAAATGTTGCTTTATTTAAGCTGTTCTTGACTTATGTTTCCAGGTAAAACTGATTTTTTTTTTTAACACATAAACACTTAAAGACCTTCGAATGGCCAACTATTTATATATTGATGAAAAAAAAATGTATTTAAAGTTACCTGGGGTTATATTTTTTGCAAGTATATATCAAAGCTGCAGCAAGACCAACAGCAACAATGACCAGAACAACAGCAGCAATGGCCAGAACAATGGCGATGATAATAACAATCTCCAAATGACCAGCAATTTCTTCTGAAATAAAACAAGATGTTAGTTCTACAATCTTAAAGACTAGCAAGAAACAATCTGCCCAGATCACCAACAAATATCAAACACATTTAACTCCAACTAACTGTAAAACATAAAATCTCTCAAATATTTAACTAATCCTAAAAGTATCAAATATTAATAAACGTTTTCATGGTTCTTAAAGCTGCAACAAGACTGATCGGACTGCCTTAAGAACAAAGATCATTCTTTAGTAATTTGTAATTCACAATCATTTCGTATAATTGTTTAACTTACATCTCCTTGACATCTTAAACCATGTGACTGTTTTAATTAAATTAACATTTATTTTTACAATAAATAAACATGATGTTGAATTAGCTTATTGAATACTTTATTCTTTACCCACTAAAACAAATTGTGTGACCAAAAAAAATTATTAAATTTATAGATCAAAACTGTTTTTTTTAAGAAGGGTTCATTCGTGTAATATTGTTGTGTAAATACTTAATTAACAATACCAAACTGTGTTGATTAGTTAGTTATTCCAAAAAGACTTGGAAAAAAAACTCCACTGGACTTTGTTTCCAAGTTTGAAGGCGTTTGGCTTCCCATCCAGGAAGCTTTTTCAACTCGAAATGTCAGAAATAGCATTACGTTCGATGCTTTATAAATTGGACCAAAAAAAAAAAAGTATTGTTTTGGCTTAAAAAAACATGCCAACTGAACTGGGCGAAAGTGTCTGCCCCTTTGGAATGGGGGTTGTTTGGGTTCTTTGTTGGCCTATAATATCCAATACCTGCACATGTCTCTGAAAGGGGGGTAGTTAGAGGGAAATGTTGGCCTGGCTGAACAGGTGAGGTGTTCTGTTGTCCTGTAAGGGGGTGGGGGTGGATGTGATAGCGGGAAGGAATGAAATTAATGACTGCATTGTAGGATTTTGAAAGATGAAATCTGAGACCACCCATTCTGTTAAAGGTTGGCTTCCTTCACGCCCCTCCTGGAGCGTGCTTCTTCTGCCTTTTCGGGCAGGCGGGGGAAGCACGAGAAGCATACCGCACCAGGTCGGATTCGGTCGCTTCGTCCCCGCCTGGGCCCGGAGTTCACGGCTCTGTTGGAAAGCGCGGTGTGTTTCGACTACGTGCTGCACGGTAGTCGACCAAAATCCCGGACAATTTTGAAATTCCCCCTGGACATTTTTTAGGTGTGAAAAGTAGGCCATATCCGAGAAAAGGAGTGAGTGAGTGAGTGCTTGTTGCTATAATGCGTCTTTGCTCAGCAGCTTCACTCATTGTAAACCAACTAGGGCTGCAACTAACGATTATTTTAAAAATCGATGAATCGGCCGATTATTTTTTCGATTAATCGATGAATCGGCCGATTATTTTTTCGATTAATCGATGAATCGGACAAAAAATATTTTTTATATTAACCTCTTTATTCCAAAATAAACATTTTAGACAGAACAAAAAAGCACACAAGTACTGGTTGCTCATTAAC